ATACTTTGACACATACAACATCATATACTGTACCATGTACTATAGCATTTAAAACTTTGATTTATTTGAACACATTTGAAAAAATCAAGAATAGATTTGAAAAATGTGAACAAATTTTAAATTCCAATTAGTTATTGAAAAAGAATGAAACGATTGAAACTCTGAACAATTTCTGTAAATTGTGGATTTTTTAAATACAAAAAATTGTTGAGCATTTTCAACCAAAATTTGAAATTATGAACATTTTTCAAAAAATGAATAAAAATTAAATGCTAAACTTTTTATAAAAGTGAATTTTATTTTGAATTTCGAATATTTTTTGTATTTTTAATATGTTTTGAAAATTTGATTTTTTTAAGTGAACAAATTTTAAAATTCCAAACTTTTCTAGAACGTGATTTTTAAATATATATGTGTGTTGCTAAAAATGTCCCAACACAGTTGCTCGATAGATCGACTGTGCGTGTGTGAACCGGCGACACCTTGATGCAAATGGCATTATATAGGATTTTGTCAGTCCAAACACTCCATTGACGATTGTGCAGGGTCAGTTTCTGCAATAGATCTATGTAATAATCAAATGACTTGATTTAGGCTCCCAAAGCCTGATGAGTACCATGTGGCAATCAAACAAGCCCTAAACAAAGCCGATCAATAGAAAAGGGAGTAACTAGCTGACAGGTACCCCTTGGGGCAATCGCAACTGCCACTTTTCTGGCTCATGAGCACGCCAAGTGATGCCCGACGCAACCATGTGTCATGCTCTGTGCGCACCATCGAGTTTTTTCCTTTCTGCACATGTTTTTCAGTTCTGTTAGGGTTTTCCCCCCTTTTTACTTTTTGGTTTTTGACTAAATCTGTGTCACAGCAACGGGCATACCTCACTGGGCATTTAAGCACAAACCGTCAGTGTCCAAACAAGAAGAGAGTAAGCTGCAGGAAACGACACATCAGAGCTAAAGAAGCAGCGAGCTTCCGGCGAACAACAGGGAAACATAGCATGCGCGAATGCGAGGGATATGGCCTTGGTGCTCACTGAGCTGCCACGGATCTGTTGTCGGGAAGGGGAACCCTTTCCTCTCCCACCCAGGCTCAAGGGAGCCGAGCACCGGCGAACAGGGGACGGCCAGCAAGCACCAAACAGAGAATGGCAAGCCCGGCATCGCTGGAACCCAAGTTGTCACACGGACCCCCGCTGCAATCACAAACCTCGTATCTAGCACCACACACCTACAACCTCCTAACCAGACGCCCCCTCCAGGGAGGTTACCACGCCGAGCACCGCCGCCGCCGCCGAATCCGCATGGGATTACAGGAGTTAACCTTGGAACAGAGGGGAAAGGGTGGGTAGAGGGGATCTCGACGGTGCCTTCAAGAAGGGGAGCCGCACCCGCGGGCCTAGCCACCGCCGTGGTCGGAGACACCAACCAAGGATTTCTCCTGGTCCCGACAAACACCACCGCAACCAACCACCAACGGACCGGTGAAGAAGCATCGGCGCTACCATAGGTTGGGAGCGGGCTAGAGGGAAGAGGAGAAGCAACCTTCAAATCTGAGATCAGAGGGCCACCGGAGCAGCCCACCGACCACGCACCGTGTCCACCGTCGATTCTCCGCCCGCACGGCCGAGGACGATGACCCACACCCGCGGGCGCGCCTGCCACCCAGGCGCCACCGCCTTGCCAGATCTGGGGCCGCCGCCCCGGCTACCTAGGCCCTCCACGTAGGTGAAGCCGCCAGATCCCCGCCGCCACCTTCATCGGTGTCGCGCGCATGCCAGAAGGCACCTCGGGCGGCGGCAGGGGGTAGGGAAAGGGGAGGGAGGGGTGGCGGCTGCGGTTAGGGAAACCCTTGAGTCGCCTCAGAGGAGACGACGCGGGGGCAGGGGGGTCTACTCTCAGCACATGCCTGTTTACGTTGTCAACTTTTTTGTTTTTCATTTTATTTTCAAATTTTATTTTTCAAAATAAAAGTTTTTCATATCGGGATCTAGTTTGTAAGATCTTGATGCGAGAGATCCAACAATGAAAAGAATTTATGATTTAGACGTATAATTTAAGACATAAACCATTTTGAACCTATGAAAAAAGAGAAAACTCTCGGGTTGAACAAATGACGCACATGTATTGTGTCACTTGTCAGCTCCAGAAAATATGAAGAATAACCTTTGCCATAAGGGTTAGAGCATCTCCAGCCGCGCCCCCAACAGGCCTCCCAGGCGACTTTTTCTGCGCCGGGGCCAAAAAAATGCCCCAGTCGCGCCCCCAAGACGCCAAAATTCGCTGGCCCGACCCGTTTTTGGGCCCGGCGATCGCAGGCCGAACCCGGTGCATTGGGGGCGCTCGGGGCTCCGGCGCAAGGAAAAACACGTCTGACCCACACCGTCGGGCGAAAAGTCATGTCTATCTTCCAGATTCGCCTCCCACCCCCTGCGCGCTCAGCCGCCAACCGGCTGATCCCGTCGCCGCCCACCGCCCGCCACCGCTAGATAGCCCATCCCAGCCGGAAAAAAGCAGAGGTTTCGCCAAGGCAGCCTCTCCACCACCGGCTGGGCGATTTTTCCAGCGTTTCCGGCCGTGGAGGGGCAGTGTAGTGGCGGGTACGCGCCCACCGCGCCCGCAAGGTGTTCGGTGATTTGCCTGCCTCGGCAATGAATTCGAACGACAAGGAAGCGCTCGCCACGCTGCTAGAGGAGGAAGCCGCGGCCGACGTCTAGGAAGAGGAACATCTCATGGTCCTCGCCGCCCTCGCCGGCCTGCTGGCGAGCAATGAAAAGCCGCGACGAGGTGGCTCGGCGCCGGGGCGGATGAAAGCAAAGAACCAGCATCGTCTCGAAGGCTACTGCATGCTCTACTCCGACTACTTCGCCGACGCTCCACTACACGGCGACAAAACATTTCGGCGCCGTTATCGGATGAGCCAAAAGCTTTTCCTCAGGATTGTGAATTCCATCTGGGAGTTCGACAGCTACTTCAAGTGCAAGAAGGATTGCACCGGCAAACTTGGATTCACCTCAATCTAGAAGTGCACGACAGCGATGAGGATGCTTGCATACGGAGCTCCTGATGATTCACTCGACGACCATGGGCGCATGGCCGAGTCCATCACCATTGAGTGTTTCTACAAGTTCTGTCGGGTAGTGGTGGCGGTGTTTGGACCGCAATACTTGCGAACACCCAATGCGGAAGACACTGCTCGGATCCTAGCACAGAACGCAGCAAGAGGATTTCCTGGGATGCTTGAAAGCATTGACTGCATGCATTGGAAATGGAAGAACTGCCCATTTGCTTGGCAGGGGATGTACAAAGGCGTCAAAGGCGGTTGCAGTGTGGTACTTGAGGCGGTGGCCACACAGGACCTCTGGATTTGAAACTCCTTCTTTGGTATGCCAGGAACTCACAATGACATCAACGTGCTACAGTGCTTCCCTGTCTTTGCCAAGCTTGTTGAAGGTCATTCTCCTCCGGTGAACTTCGAGGTCAATGGGCGGCACTACAACAAGGGGTACTACCTAGCTGATGGCATCTATCCAAGATGGTCTACATTTGTGAAGACTATCTCAAACACTGTGCCAGGAGGCAAGAAGTCCCACTTTGCCAAGGTGCAGGAGGCTTGCAGGAAGGATATGGAGCGGATATTTGGTGTGCTCCAATCTCGATTTACCGTTGTCCGGTACCCTACTCAGACCTGGTCGAAGATCAAATGTGGGAGATCATGACTTGCTGTGTCATCTTGCACAACATGATCATCGAGAGCAAGCAGGAAGAGCCAGTGTTTGACACTGAACCATACTACATGCAGTGTCCTCTAGCCGAAGTTGATTACCAGCTACCGACAACCTGGACTGCCTACCTCAGTATGCGTCAGGAGATCCGAGACCCATAGATGCATCATCAACTGCAGCAGGATCTGGTGGAGCACCCATGGATGATCAAGGGCGACGCCTAACTCGAGGTGTGTTGAAATATGGAGTTTTTATTTGTTGAACTATATAATTTGTATTGAACTATTTGTCGTTGCACTATTTATTGAATTATTTGATTTTCTGTGATGAACCATGTGATAAAAAATTTATTTATGTTGACAATTCAACACCGAACCACGCCGAATATAAGCCGTTTCTCGCCGATATCGGGCCATTTTCTATTTATCTGGGCCGAAAAGCAGCCGCGAATGGGCCGATATCGGCGCCTGAGAGCGACAGCTGGATGCCCAACCACCCCTAGCGCCCATTCTACCGCCGGCTCGCCCTTAGGCGGCGATTTTTATGCCTCCTCCGGGGGGACGGACGGCTGGAGATGCTCTTACCCGCGTTTGGTTGGAAAAACAGGAGCCCACGCTCGGGGACACGGACTGTTTGTTGGACACGCCGGTGAAGAAACGCGTGGCGTACCGCGCGGAAGCAACGAGCTGGCACGTTCACGGCTTCACGCGTCTCCCGCAAACTTTGCTACGCTCTTGCTGTCGCGCGCGGCGAAGCATTCACACTCCATGCGTAGGCATCGTTACGCGTTGAACGGCCAGGCGGTAGCAGGCAGGCGGGCAGCTGGGACACGGACCCGCAGGGAAAGGGTCGCAAGTCAGCGGTCAAAGTTACGCGCCTCTCGCGCTCTTCCCTCTTCCTTCCCTTGATCCAAGACCATCTTGAGATCTCCCAGCTTACCTTTTTCTTTTCTATACTAGGAATCTAGGACTACGCTACACTGTACTATAGTATCCTACTAATTCCTGTGAGATGATAAAGTGTGACTGATCACTGATGTCTGATGAGCCAAACATCTCAAGAAAAAGCTATCGAAGCATGCAGCAGGGTGCTGGAAAACAATTCGCACGTATATATGTGGTGTACATCACATTACAAGCAGGAGTATATCAGCAATATATGTTACAATAATTTACACTAGCATACCCGAGAGAAAATCATTGTGGAGGCACGCTAGACCTAGCTACAAAGAACAAATGAAACAATCTAGTATACGACTGGTCAACCAGTCGGTTGCTCAGAGCCTAAACGAGCTAGCACAAGAGAAGAAGAAGAAGAAGAAAAGATCGACCGGCATCAGAGAAGAGCCGAGCAGAGCAGGCCGCCGGATCGTCAGCTCTTGATGTCGTTGGTTCGTTTGCTGGGGCCCGACGGCGGCGCTCTCGACCTGGGCTTCATGCCGAGCAGCGCCTCGACCCGCTTCCCGACCGGCACGACCTCCTCCGCGTCCCTCGTCAAGGCCGCGGCGGGGAGGGCGATCGTCCGCACGGCCGCGGCGGCCACACCCCCACCGCCGCCAGCTGCCGGTTGCCGCAGGGGCCTGGTGGCGCCGGAGCGCCGCGCGAAGACGGTGAGGAGGAGCAGCAGCACGAGGAGGCAGAGGAACCGAGAAGGGCGGCTGTTGCTCAGCGTCATCGCGTGCGCCGTTGATCTTGTGCGACGAGAAGAGGAGAAGTTGATCTGATTCGGAGGTTGTTTGTGTGGATCACGACCGGAATGGTGCGACCGACGGAGCACGGAGAGGGTTGATATATATAGAGAGAGGCGACGCGGTGGGAGGAGACAAACTTGGAGGGCAAGTCAAATAGGGAGGAATGTGTGTGCGCGCGCGACGAGGAGGAGGGCGGGATGGGATGTCGTGTGCTTTTGGTCAACCAAATCCAGATCGAAGCTGCTCCAAAACTCTCGAGCAATTGCATGGCTACTAGTTTAGCATTTCCTTCGTTCGGACGGAAGATGCATCCGAGTTATGATTAGCTGAAAGAAGTACGGAAAAGGAGAGGCCGCGACGACGGTGCAGACGTGTGAGGGAAGGTAGATGGAGTATGACTTTGGTTAAGTTATTTAAGTGGCGCCGCGTGTGTGCGTGCATTGAAGTTGGCGCGTCATGCACCGCGCTACCGGCGACAAGGACGCGTATTGGCTTGCTTGCTTGCCTGTCTGTCCGTCCGCATATCCATCTGGAGGCAGCTCAACTGGCCGCGGGTCCAAATGGAGATGAAAGTTCACAACTTTAACTGTATGCACACAGCAAAAAGGTTCATCAAAAGTGCCATGGCACTGAAGGAACAGACGCGCGCGCGCGCGTGTGTTCTGATTATCTCTGTGGATTCCTGGTAACACTGCACACTCTTACTAGCTAGCTCTACCCATTTAGCTAGGTTGATGATGAAGATATTGTGCAACGTACGTCTAGAAATTTAGACCGTGTTGAGTGGGGAGGGGCCGAGCAAAGACGGTGGAATGGATAGCGGTGGATGTGTGGGTGTGGAGTCAACTGCAGGTAGCTGGCACCTGCTATGTGAATGCGTCCGGTTCCGGTCAAAGCTGACTAACTTCTGCGTGGAAAGAGAGAGCCTGCAAGTGTGCCTACCTAGTTGTATAATAAACTGATTTTCCACTTAACTATGAGTCCAGGCATAGACCTAGCCGAGACATGCACGCTAGTACTCCCTCCGTCCCAACAAAGTCAACACTGATACCTGTGTCGCAACAGATTTCCAAAGCGTGTACCGGAAGAGCATGTAAACTAATGTTGGGTTTCAATTAATTACAATTCACAAGTGCTGGCGCTCCACCATCGCCCTAGTCTCGTGGTCTTTGTGGCTCCAGCGCAATGAGCGCGTCTTCAGCAAAAAATCGTGCCCTACTGCGACGCATTCATTTATTTTTAAAAGAGAGCCCCTTTTCGATTTTCATCAACAAAAAATAACAGTGTCTTACATACTACTATTCCGTCTTATAATGTAAGACCTTTTTTTGATACTAGTGGGACCAAGGGAGTATTAAAGACCACTACAAGCTAGTACACTGCCAAAATATAAGCAGCTACAGAATGCACAATGCGCTGCATCCCTCCTGAGAAGTCCCACACGTCGGGCTCTCCAGGCAAAAGGATGTTATTACAGCACAAAATGCGGCCAAGGTTTAACCAAGTGCAGAGGCAAATTTTCGTGTTTTGACCCTTTTGTGAAACCTATTCGAGATTTGACCTTAGTTTGAATTTTTTTTCGAGATCTGATCCTTTTGCTACCGCTAGAGCCCATGGCGGTAGGGTCTAACAGCCTACCGCCAGGGACTTTGGCGGTAGGAAACATCGCTACCGCCAACCGGGCTGGCGGTAGCCTGCACAACCCTACCGCCAAGGTGCTTAACGGTAGGCACGAGCAAGCATTGTGTTCAATACTTAGAAGTTTTTTGGCGGTAGGGCATGCAACCCTATCGCCAGGGACCTTGGCGGTAGGCTGTTATACCCTACCGCCATGGTCCCTGGCGGTAGCAAAAGGGTCAGATCTTGGATTTTTTTTCAAACTAGGGTCAAATCTCGAATAGGTTTCGAAAAAGGGTCAAAACATGAAATTTAGCCAAGTGCAAATACATCTTGGGAAAGCAGTAAATAGGTCTAAGCAACTAGGCAGCATGTGAGGCGTAAGTAGAGCAAGATCTCTAGGGCAGCCCTTCATCGAGCAATGATCTTGCGAGTCATCTTCCACCCTGTCGCTCTGAAGACCTCCCCTGCTATCATCTCAGCCTTTTTACGCCCTCCATTATTGTTCTTCGTCTTTCTGGGTTTATTTGCAAAACGAGCCAATCGTGCAACATTTAAATGATCAGATTGATAGGCATACAAGGGTCAGAGACCTTGTTATTATCAAAAACCATGTTGCGATGTATTCATTAAGTTTTTTTCTTTCAAAATGATAGGAGTTCTACATTTATTAAGAAGAATTGCTCTGTTAATTAAAGAAAACCAAGCAAAAACCAGATATAAAAGGGTCGAAAGCCGACTTTAGGACACACTCGGACAAGCCCAGACTAGTCGAGGGTGTGCTGATCACCACAACAAACACCAACAAAAACAAACACACAACAACATGAGGCCCCGCTCCACCAAGCAAGCCAGTCTCCCACCACTGCTAGAAAGAGTAAGTCGAGACAACTATGGGAGGAGCTTGTTGAACGAAATATGCCCTAAAGGCAATAATAAAGTTGTTATTTATATTTCCTTATATCATGATAAATGTTTATTATTCATGCCAGAATTGTATTAATCGTAAACTTGATACATGTGTGAATACATAGACAAAACAGAGTGTCCCTAGTATGCCTCTACTTGACTAGCTCGTTAATCAAAGATGGTTAAGTTTCCTAACCATAGACATGTGTTGTCATTTGATGAACGGGGTCACATCATTAAAGAATGATGTGATGGACAAGACCCATCCGTTAGCTTAGCATTATGATCGTTAAGTTTTATTGCTATTGCTTTCTTCATGACTTATACATATTCCTTTGACTATGAGATTATGCAACTCCCGAATACCGAAGGAACACCTTGTGTGCTATCAAACATCACAACGTAACTGGGTGATTATAAAGATGCTCTACAGGTGTCTCCAAAGGTGTTTGTTGGGTTGGCATAAATCGAGATTAGGATTTGTCACTCCGAGTATCGGAGAGGTATCTCTGGGCCTTCTCGGTAATGCACATCATAATAAGCCTTGTAAGCAATATGACTAATGAGTTAGTTGTGGGATGATGCATTACGGAACAAGTAAAGAGACTTGCCGATAATGAGATTGAACTAGGTATGGAGATACCGACGATCGAATCTCGGGCAAGTAACATACCGATGGCAAAGGGAATAACGTATGTTTTTACGCGGTTTGACCGATAAAGATCTTCGAAGAATATGTAGGAACCAGTATGAGCATCCAGGTTTCGCTATTGGTTATTGACCGGAGATGTGTCTCGGTCATGTCTACACAGTTCTCGAACCCGTAGGGTCCGCACGCTTAACGTTCGATGACGATTTGTATTATGAGTTATGTGATTTGATGACCGAAGTTTGTTCAGAGTCCCGGATGAGATCACGGAAATGATGAGAGTCTCGAAATGGTCAAGAGTAAAGATTCATATATTGGAAGTCTATATTCGGACATCGAAAAGGTTCCGAGTGATTCGGGTATTTTTCAGAGTACCGAGGAGTTACGGGAATTCAACAGGAGAAGTAATAGGCCTTATTGGGCCATACGAGAAAAGAGGAGGCAGGCCAAGGGGAGGTGGCGCCCCCCATGGGTCTGAATTGGACTAGGGGAAGGGGGCGGCGCCCCCCTTGCCTTTTCCTACTCCCTCTCTCTTTCCCTCTTTCCTTCTCTCCTACTCCGAAAAGGAAAGGGATTCCTACTAGGACTTGGAATTCCTAGTAGGACTCCATACTCTTGGCGCGCCCCTAAGGGGCCGGCCTCTCTCCCTCCCTCCTTTATATACGTGGGCAGGGGGCACCCCAAAGAGAGACCAAGTCTTCTCTTAGCCGTGTGCGGTGCCCCCTCCACAGTTACACACCTTGGTCATATCGTCGTAGTGCTTAGGCGAAGCCCTGCGCTGATAACTTCATTATCCCCGTCGCCATGCCATCGTGCTGACGGAACTGTCCTCCGGCCTCAACTGGATTAAGAGTTTGAGGGACGTTATCGAGCTAAACGTGTGCTGAACGCGAAGGTGCTGTACGTTTGGTGCTTGGATCGGTTGGATCGCGAAGGCGTTCGACTACATCAACCGCGTTACTAAACGCTTCCGCTTTCAGTCTGCGAGGGTATGTGGACACACTCTCCCCGCTCGTAGCTATGCATGTCCTAGATAGATCTTGCATGATTGTGGGTAAATTTTTTAAAATACTGCGTTCCCCAACAGTGGTATCATAACCAGGTCTATGAGTAGATGTTATATGCACGAGTAGAACACAATGAGTTGTGAGCAATAATAGTCATGCTGCTTACCAGCAACGTCTTACTTTGATTCGGCGGTATTGTTGGACGAAGCGATCCGGACCGACATTACATGATCGCGTTCATGAGACTGGTTCTACAGACGTGCTTCGCACACAGGTGGCTAGCGGGTGTACGTTGAAGGACATATGCCCTAGAGGCAATAATAAAGTTATTATTTATTTCCTTATATCATGATAAATGTTTATTATTCATGCTAGACTTGTATTAATGGAAATATAATACTTGTGTGAATACATAGACAAACAGAGTGTCACTAGCTAGTATGCCTCTACTTGACTAGCTCGTTGATCAAAGATGGTTATGTTTCCTGACCATAGACATGAGTTGTCATTTGATTAACGTAGTCACATCATTAGGAGAATGATGTGATTGACTTGACCCATTCCGTTAGCTTAGCACTTGATCGTTTAGTTTGTTGCTATTGCTTTCTTCATGACTTATACATGTTCCTATGACTATGAGATTATGCAACTCCCGTTTACTGGAAGAACACTTTGTGTGCTACCAAACGTCATAGCGTAACTGGATGATTATAAAGGTGCTCTACAGGTGTCTCCAAAGGTACTTGTTGGGTTGGCATATTTCGAGATTAGGATTTGTCACTCCGATTGTCGGAGAGGTATC